ATTATGAATCTCCAAGGGATGCTTGTGAGCCAGGAAATTGTGGAGGTCTTGAGATCAATTTCACTTTTCAGAGCCAGACTCTTCCCTACCCTCTATGTTGTTTTAACTTTTCACTTTCTAATGCTTTTTTTTTTTTTGGACTGCTGTGCAAATGACACTGATGAATATGGAAAATGAAAAGGGAAGAAGTTATTTGCATTATTGGAGACAAGCACACTTAGCTCAAGTTAATCTCTGTACGTTGCTTAAGATGCTGGCACAGAGGTCTTTAGCTCAAGTCAAAGAGAGTGCCCAAGAGAAAAATTATCTGTAATGTTAAATGGAGCCACAGGTCAAGGCAGGGGGCCCGGAGATAGGGGGAGTAGATTCAGGAGGCCTCAGGAATAGCTTGGGAGGCAGAATTGCCCCTCTAGGCAGAGGCTCTGACAGTTGAGACATATGGGCTTCTGGCGACCAGCTTGTTCATCACACCTACAGTCAATAGAGTGGGTTTCGGGCCAGTCATGCCGGGGAGGGGAGGCTGCAGGGACTGCTGCACCTCTGAGTTCCGTCAGAAGTACCCCTACTCCTCTCCGGTCACTCGTTTGCTCACAGCAGGGGTAGGGAATCTTTTCTGACAAGGGCCATTGCGATATTTATAACATTATTCCCTTAATATAATATAAATTTAACATAATTTATATAAATTTATGCTGCTATGAAAAAAAAGCTCCTAGTTTTATGGAATTATGAGTCCTGACTACGGTTGCTTTGGCAGGGCCAGACCAAATGAAGGCCTGTGGGCTGGACCTTCTCCACCCCAGGCTTACAGGCTCATTAAGTGGCTTGTTCTGACTTATCCCAAAATCCATAACTATCCCTCCCCCCCCAAATCTGTTTATGCCCTGACTCCTCCTGCTTCCTAATAGAAGTTCTGACCTCCCCCACACTCACCCCAAATCCATCATCTAATAGCCGTGCAGTAAATTGTATCAATCTGCAGGAAAGCTATGAAACGTCTATGTGATTTGTGAAATTCAAATCCGTCACAGCTGATCCCTTAAGCCAGAGGATGTAAAAGAGCAAATGTGGCCCCTGATCCATAAGGCTATTAGTAGTCACACACCATTTTCTTGGGGGGAGATTTCACACAAAATAAATATTTTTCTTGTTTTCCTTGAGAATGTTTAGAACATCTGAACACACCAGGTCTATGTTTCCACATGATGGTAGTTGGCTGCAACTACATGGAGACGATGGACTCCTAGTTGGTCACAGTCTCCACCATTCCTTATTGTGCCTCTACTCAGCCCACGTTACTCATTTAAAATACATGCCTGGTCTCTGTATGCCAAGTTTGCAAGACTAACCTAAACTTGCCAGCTGAGAGTAGGGTCAGAGAAAACGGCACAGAATAGGAAAAGAGTGGGGAGGGTTCTACAACAAAATTATTCTTTTTCAAAATGTTTAACGGAACACTCACTCCCTGAAGACCACAAAACCTTAGCCGGATCCTGACTTGGACCTACTCACTGACGGATCAGCATTTGCATCAGCCTCATTGGGCAAACATCGGAAATGTGGGTAGAAATATCCTCTTTCACTCTTTGGAAAGAAGCCAGGCTGTACTTCATTTTTCCTAAACAATCTGAGAGTTCCAGGACCATGAGATGCCACTGCACTCTTTTCCAAGATTTGGACCTCAACCCAGAAGTACTTACCCTCTGCTATTTTCATGCTGTAGGAATAGAGGGGCGGGCGGGGCGGGGGGAGTGGGTATGAAAGAACATGGGTTCTAGAAATCCGAGAAGGTGAAATAAAACTATTACTTTTCTTTAAAAGTAGGTTATATTCATATTTGGCATTTCAATGTGAAATCTGATAGGTGTAACTGGATTGAGTAGAATGAAAGAAACATTTTTGGGTTTAAGGAGGTCAGGGAACTGTGAAGAAATATTTGCCCAAAGCATTCATGCGAGCATTTGAGTTAGTGATATGATGCTATCTGGCCTAGAGAGGAATTCTAGGAGTGTCAATGAATGTGAGTCACTGGCAAAGTTAGTGGGAGGGGAAGGTTGGGATAGTTCATTTGGTTCAAAGAAGGACATTTAAAAATTTTATCTGAGAATGGAGGTTTAAGGGGGAGAAGTGGTAACTAACTGGTAGCTTGGAGACCATCCAGCCTTATTTACTGATCTTTCTAATGATGAAAAGTTTGTCCCTGAAAAGCAAATGATTTCTTATTGGGACTACCTTACCTAATTCTCTAGATAAACACATAACCATAACAAAAAAAAAAAAAAAAAAAAGACACAACTGTTCAATAAGAAGTTGCATCCCTTATTTTCCCTGAGCCCTCTGCTACTACAGTTTCACAGCTTTCAAGAACAGTGCATTGTAGAAAATTAAGTTCAATTGGTTCCTCTAATATTACTTCTCTCCTAACCCCTCTGCATAGCTCTATTGTGAACAGCTTAATATATTTCAGAGGTCACACAACAAAATACAAGGGGGTCCCAGTCCAGAGGGAAATGATGACAAGCTGCTTGTGTGTGGAGGTCAGAATCCTTTGGTGGCACCTGTAGGCTCCTCTTGAATGTTTTGGCTCAGTTGGTCTTATCACCTTTTACTAAGTCATTCGAGCCGTGAGAATCAGGCTTGATGCCTTTCTCTTAGCCTCGCTTTCTGAGTCCTGGCATATTTCTTGACTCTCTTTCCTTTCCATGCCAACTCTTGCTGCCCTAATTTAAGGCCTTATCATCTCTTGTACGAACTATTGCAGCAGCCTTCCAACTAGCATTCCACAGTCCAGTCTTGTCCACCCTGAAATCCATCATCCATGCTGTCTCATAATACCAGTACCTTGCTAACAGGCGATGGAAGAAATAACGTAAGATTGAGAGGGAGATAATCATGATGCACAACTCTAGATAATATCTTCCTCCACATCACAATAAAGTACCTCAATATCCCTGGGGGAGAAAATGCAAACTATTTGAAATGCAATAGAATATAACCTACGATTACAGATGAGACCAGCTATGTCAATCATGAAACATGATTCTCTTTGTCCTGTATATGTCTCAAAAATTTTAGGGAAATGTAGGCTAAGAGAGACTGTGAGTGTCTCCAATCATGATGCTCTGCTTGTAGTTTGGAGGGAAGGGGGAATATGGTGTTTGCCATCATCATTCCATCTCTTATTTAAGCTTCTGCATTCAAGGCCCTCTGGTGACCTTTTTAGTCTCACCTTTAACCCCTTCCTTCAGGACCACTGCCTTGCACACTCCAGGGAGCATCACCACATTGTGTTGTATGCGAGTGGTGCCTCTGCAGTTGAACGATACCGCGATCTCCTCTTTGCCTTGCATTCCAGCAATTGGCAAAAATATAGGGGTTGGCAAAAGTAGGTTTATAGATGTGATACATAAACAATACAATGATTAATAAGTGATAATACAAGAATAAACTCTGTGTTTTGTATACTCCAACTATAAACCTACTTTTGCCCACCTTGTATAGACCTTATCCTGCTGATTCTTGTTACTTTGTCTTTGATTTTGCTGGCCTCTCTTTCTAGAAAATCATCTAATTACTTTTTTCTCTCCTCATTTGACACACTGACACATACACAGAAACACACACATGCATCTGGTTAAATGCTTTTCATCCTTAAAGACGTAGTCTAATAATCAACTCCTCCAGCAAGCTTTTCCCATTTCCCTACTCAGCCTCACCTTGGGATCACACTTACATCATGTTTTTATTTTGATTATACACCAGTCTTCCCTCAACTAAACCCTGAGGTCCTTAGGGGTAGACATGTCACATGCATGATTGTAGTCCAGTTCATACCACAGTACCTGATACCATCTTTCCTTTAATTCCTTGCTAACACCCCTCTCAGCAGTGCAAATTTCCCAAGGCTGAGCCATTCTTTTGATGCCTGAGGTAGGACTCTCTACTATTTTCACTGGAAACCCTGCCCTACCTATAAGAATATGACTTATTTCCTATGGACCTCTGAAAGACATTAAACAGAATACTTGGTTCCACACATATTCCAAAGGTCTAGGTTCACTGAGTATTAATACCATTTGTGGAACAGACAGTCTAGACCAAGTTGACTGCTTCAGTGTTATCTAGTTCCTTTTCAAATCTTTCTTTAGCATCAAAGGAAGATAAGACAGATCTGCACACTTCCCTATCGTGTGTGTGTGTGTGTGTGTGTGAATTTGTATGCATGGGTCATATTCCTGATCTCTTAGACAGCAACATACATACATGAACAAACAGTATTATTCAGGAATGGGGCAGTCAATAAATATTTAGAGAAAGAAACATTTCAATGGGAACCATCATTTGTAAAGAATTGGGTCTGATAAAATATACATCCAAGAAAGTACAAGTATTGCTCAAGAGGGTCTTGCTCAAGGGGAATTTTTTTCATTATTTTATTCAACAAATATTTATTAAGAGGCTACTGTGTGCTAGGCACTGTTTTAGGGGGCATATGAGTGAGCAAAATGTAAAAATAAATCCCTATCCCCATAAGGCTTTCCTTCTAATGAGTAGTTGATTGTATTAATATGTTCTACCCACATTTGTCTTAGAGCAAAAGAACATTCTACCTTAAGAATTAATCCAAGTTTCCAACTTTCAGAAGGGAGAAATGGTTTCCAATATTCCAGTGATCCTCCTCAAAGTTGATTCCAAGAAAATCTTGAGGTCCATCTTAAGTAGTGCTACTTTAAATACTGACATCTAATATTTGCATCAGGAGATGGAAGTATAGGGTGCCCCAAAATTCACGCAGGATTTGCAATTCAATTCAATTGCAAATCTTGCGTGAATTTTGGGACACCCTATATTTAGTGATGCTATTCCTTCAAAGACACCACCAAGTAACCAAACAGCTTCTCCAGCTTCATTCAGCAAAGCAGAGCTGATGGGATTATACTACATCAAGTATTGATAGCCTTCTATTAAACATCAGCAAGGGCTTCTAGATCCCAGCTTACCCAATGTGCAGTGTTGTCTGGGTGACATCGGCCTGGTTTCTTTCCAATGTGTCGTTAAGGGGAAGCTTTTCCTTGGCAAAGTCCCCTTGATGAGTCCATGGTGTCACTGGATTATCTCTGAGAGGTCATTGTTCATCTTCCCTTGTAGGTCAGACTTGGCAGCGGTGAAATAAATGTTCTTGTTACATCTGTACATACATAATCATGGGCTGTTCTGAACACACACGTCATTTTGTGGGTGGGTGAGAGGATTCTAAAAACAAAAAACAAATAGGCCTTTTCAGATTTTTGAGCTAAAAGAAAACAATAAATGTGTTTCAATGATGAGGACGATCCAGATCAATTGTAGATGTGTCTGTTGGCTTTTGCACTAGGTAACCTGCAGAATCCCTCACATCACCAATAGACTGTGATGCCAAGAAGCATCCATGAATCAGAAGTCAGTGTTGTTAGTGTCTTGACTGAGCATATTCATAACGATATGTAAAAGTCAACAGGAAGAAGAGAGATGGCCTTTGCTGATGTTTAACCAAAGAAAATAATTGCATTTTGCCAGCATCCTATCACAATCAATGGGCTAATCTTACCCAACATCACTAGAATTACAAGAAGCTATTTGAGGTGACATATTTTCAGAGAGAGCTTATTAATGGTAGAAGAGTGAGACATGAAGGTAATAGTGACTCTGTAATAATAACTCTAATGGAAAGTCTACAAATCAGTAAAATTTAGTAAATTATTACACACAGAGGCCTCACATACATGCACAGCTCTAGATGAACAAATGCCTACTTTCTGCTAGAGATAGGTTTCTTTCCTACATATATTTGTTGTTGTTAATCCTCACCTGAGGATACTTTTTCCTTTGATTTTTTTTAGAGAGTGGGAATGAGGGAATAAAGGGGGGAAGGAGAGAGAGAGAGAGAGAGAGAGAGAAAGAGAAACATCAATATCCATGTGAGAGAGACATATTGACTGGCTTGGTTGCCTCCCACACTTACCCTGACTGGGGCCAGGATTTAACTGAAACCCAGGTACATGGTCTTGACTGGGAATTGAACTCATGACCCTTTGGTCTGAGTTCTGATGCTCTAACCAGCGGCCAGGGCTCTTTCTTACATATCTTTAATAGTAACATTATTTACATAGAAGTAAAATGCAAAGTGGTACATGTTACAAAGTCAATAAAATATGGGAAGCTTCACAGGATGTGATAGTTCTAAGAGTACAGTTGGAATCCAGTAACGTCAGATAAATAAGACTTTCTGCTTTCATGTTTTAATGATCAATCTAATGGTTAGCTTTGGGTTTGTTAATGGATTGGAATGGTGCCTTGAGCTTAACAAAGTTGTTATGCTTATTTTTATTCCCTTCCTCCCCAGTTAGACATTTAAAATTATAGTACTATCTCCATTTATACAACAATGATGAGGAATGAGAGTGAACATGAGCACCAAATACACTTTCCAAATAACTGAGTTTTCGTCCAGCCAAAATATAAACAGTAGAAACCTAATATAAATTGAAAAGTGTAGGAGCCTTCTTAGTCTTAAACACAGGTGTGGAGCGGATTATCTTGGGATGTTCTCAGGAGCTACAGTGATGCGAGAGCTGCTTGTTCCTACACGGAATGAGCCCCAAAATGACCTTTTTATTCTCTTGTTTTGTTGTCTTGTGCCCATTTTCACACATTCCTTCCTCACTTTGAGCTGTTACTGCTTGAAGTAACTCATTTCTTGTTTCTCTCCAATCCCTTCTGTGTTCTACTTCTAGTGAACCAGCAAACCCTCTCCAGTGGTTCTCAACCTTCCTCATACAGTTCCTTTAATACAGTTCCTCATGTTGTGGTGACCCCCAACCATAAAATTATTTTCATTGCTACTTCATAACTGTAGTTTTGCTACTGTTATGAATCGTAATGTAAATATCTGATATGCAGGATGTATTTTCTGGGGTCGCGACCCACAGGTTGAGAACCGCTGCAACCAAACATACTAAGTATTATATCTAAAGGAATCATATTAAGAGTTTTGTTTGTTTTGAATCAGAGAATACTGAGATTCCAGTGAAAGGCATGTCCCTCGCTTTCTCTCCCTCACACATACTAGCCTGTAATTCTGCCTGATCTCTGAAGCCCATCCATGGTCCCCAGCTTGAGAGTTCCTGTTCTAAAGCTTCTGCAGCATGCCTCTATAGAAATCTTGTTAGCTATTCCCTCGGAGCTGGCTCTTTCTTTTTTAGAACAGGAAGTTGAAGACTTTGGTTCTGTTGATGAATTTAACTCTTGGTAACATACTAGTACTACCTGAGCTTCAGGTTCTTCATTTACAAAATGGAGTAATAATAACTGTTCCCCAGGATAACTGCAGGATAAATACAAAGTTTTGTATATACAAGCAAGTTGCAAACTCCAGACAAGGACAACTTAGCCTGAAATCCAAGGATAATGAATGGGCTTCAGAGTGTCTGCAAATGGCTTGATATTATAAGCAAAATGTGAGTTTGTGCCACCTATGTGTTTTTCTGGAAAGGGATCCATAGTTTTCATCAGTTACTCAAAAGTTATGGCTCTAAGAAAGTTATGAGTAAGTACTTATGGCATAGACTTTATATGATTGTTTTATTTTCTTAATCAGGACCAAATTTCAGATAGGTAGAGCTGTTATTGACTTCTAAGTTAGAGAGGTATAAATGTGTATTTGGTGTACAAGCAGTAACCACCAAGCTCAGCTTAAATAATTAACTATTATATAATGTGGATCAATGGAGCCATATAGCCATATCAGGCTGCTTTCTAGCTATGCTACATTTATTGATATGTTTATATCATTTTTGCCCTAGCCTGTTTGGCTCAGTGGATTAAGCGTTGGCCCGTGGACTGAAGGGTCCCAGGTTTGATCCCAATCAAGGGCATGTACATTGGTTGCAGATCCCCTGGCCCTGGTTTGGGTGTGTGCAGGAGGCAACCAATCGATGTGTCTCTCTCACATCGATATTTCTCTCTGTCTCTTTCTCTCTCTTCCACTCTTTCTAAAAAAAAAAAAAATCAATGGAAAGATATCCTTGGGTGAGGATTAACAACAAAAAAGATATATCTATATCATTTTAATAAATAAATATACCATTTAGTATAACATCCTCATTTAATCAAGGAGACTAAACAAATTGATCTTCAAAGTATCTATATTTGTATTGGTTTCACTTCTTTAAAGGGATGCTGTGAAGATAAATAAAGCCCAGCTGGTGTGGTTCAGCTGGTTGAGTGTTGTCCCATGTACCAAAAGGTCACTGATTCAAATCCTGGGTTTGGGGCTCGATTCCCAGTAGGGGCCATGCAGGAGGCAGCCAATCAATGTTTCTCTCTCATTGATGTTTTTATCTGTCTCTCTCTCTCTCTCTCTCTCTCTCTCTCAAATCAATAAAAACATATTTTAAAAAGATAAATAAAGTTCAGCTCTTAAAATGTCTGAGATTTCAGAGGAAAATTGCAATGTAACAATAATGATGGTGGTGGTGATAATAATAATAAGAGCTTATTATAGGTATTGTTTATTGATCTACTAAGTAGCGGCACCATGCTAGGCAATTTATACACATTGTATCTAATTTTAAAACCAACCTTTAAAGATAAGTATTATTAACCTCATTTTATAGGTAAAGAAACTGGAGACTTAGGTTAATAGGTCCATAATTACAAAGCTACTGAATGGCTAAGTGGAATTTTAACCAAAGTATTTGACTCTAAAGTGTGTTATCTTCTCTAGAGTTTAATATAGCAGATGATGTATTTATGATTCTTAATAAGGTATAAACAATCACTATAAAGGGAATTATTTAATTATTAAAAATTAAATTTTCTTCTGCATTTGAAAATTATATATTAAATGTAAAATTTAATTGAAACATTAAAAATATGTATAAAATAAAAAATTTAAAAATCAGTATTCAAAAAAAAGAGCTAGCCCTGGCCAGTGTGGTTCAGTGGTTAGAATGTTGGCCCACACACTGAAGGGTCTTGGGTAGGATTCCTGGCCCTGGTTGAAGTGTGTGTGGGAGGCAACAAATTGATATGTCTCTCTTACATTGATGTTTTTTCTCTTTCTCTCCCCTGCTTTCCCTGCCTCCCTTTTACCCTCTTTAAAAATCATTGAAAAAATATCCTCGGGTGAGGATTAACAACAACAATAAAAGTTAGCATGCACCTGCAATTCAACTTAAACTTTATTTTATATAGTGAACAGACTGATGGTTTCCTGAGTGGAGAGGGGTTAGGGGATGGGTGAAAAAGAGGAAGAGATTAAGAAGTACATATTGGTAGTTACAAAATGGTCACAGCGATATACAGTAAAGTACAGCATAGGGAATATAGTCAATAACTATGTATGGTGCCAGATGGGTACAAGAACTATTAGGAAGATCACTCCTTAATTATATAATTGTCTAACCACTATGCAGTATACCTGAAAGTAATATAAAATATTGAATGTCAACTGTAATCCTCCTATATAATAAAATTCTAATATGCAAATTGTCCCCTCGACTGGGAGTTCGACCAGAGGGTGGGGCTAGCCAACCAACTGCTTTCGACCCCTCTCCACAGCCGGCCCTGCCCCAACCAGCTGTGGCAGCAGGCAGCTGGGGGAAGGGAGGCCCCAGCCAGCGCTGGCAGCTGCTAGGGACCCTACCTGTGCATGAATTTCGTGCACTAGGCCTCTAGTTGAAAAATAATATAGAGGGTGTCCCCCCAAAATGTATACATATTTTAACAGCTGACAACTTAATTTTGAAAGTGAACTGTACATTAATAAAAACTGACTTTATAATCATTCAAAGTGTGTATACATTTTTGGAATACTTTGTATATTCATACAAAAAATAAGAAATCCCCCCCAAAAACCCCTTTATTTTAGAGTTAAGAGGTGCTCATTGAAAGGTTTTAGGAAAAGGGATGATATGATTAGATTTGTGTTTTTGGAAGGTTACTCTGGTTGTTTAGTTGAATGGTTTAAAGAAGTGGCTCTCAACCTTCCTAATGCTGTGACCCTTTAATACAGTTCCTCATGTTGTGGTAACCCACAACCATAAAATTATTTTCGTTGCTACTTCATAACTGTAATTTTGCTACTGTTCTGAATCGTCATGTAAATATCTGATATGCAGGATGTATTTTCATTGTTACAAACTGAACATAATTAAAGCATAGTGATTAATCACAAAAACAATATGTAATTATATATGTGTTTTCAAATGGTCTTAGGCGACCCCTGTGAAAGGGTCGTTCGACCCCCAAAGGGGTCACGACCCACAGGTTGGCGACCCACAGGTTGAGAACCGCTGGTTTAGACCAAGATGTGACCAGAGGCCAAGAGGCCAGGAGGGAGGCTGTTTATGAACAGTGGGGATGGGGGAAGTGAATGAGCTCTGTGGCTCCTCAGAAGGCAGTCTGGATAAATCTTGTTGATTGACCAGCTATGGGAATTCAGGATGGTGAGGAATCAAAGAGGTTCGGGTCTGTGTGGACATTTCCTTTCTGTTGTTGGGTTAGGATGATGGGTTATTGTATTAGGAGGACGTTTACAGGTGAAAATGATGAGTGAATTTTGGACACATTGGGTTTGTGGTGTTTATGAAGATGCTACGTTGGCCTTTGAATATTCAGTTTTGAAGTTCAGGAGAGTGATGTGGGCTGGAGATTTAGTTTTGGAAGAGAGCACATGTTCAGTGGTTAAATCCAAGGAGGTGGATGAAATTGCTCAGGGGGGTATGTACAGTGAGGAGTGAAGAGAGCTTAGGATAACGTTAGACCCTGCAGAACCCCACCGTTTAAGAGACAAGTAGCAGAGAAGGGGTGGGGTAGGGTTGTAGCAGTGTGACATTACCGAAGACATTTCAAAGTGGAAGGAGTGGCCCTAGGTGTTTACCCCAAAGAAATAAAGAACATATGTTCACACGAAGACCTGCACATGAATGTCTATGGCAGTTTTATTAGTAATCGCCATAAAGTGGACACAATCTCAATACCTACCAACTGGCGAATGGATATATAAAATCATGGTACATCTGAACAATGGACTAGTACTCAGCAATGAAAAGGAATGAGGTATACACACAACAACATGGATGATCCTCAAAAGCCTTTGGTCAGTGACAGAAACCAAACACAAAGGCTATGCACTGTTTGACTCCATTTACGTGGCCTCTGGAAAAAGCAAAACCGAGGGGCACAGGAACCCATCAGTGGTTGCCAGTGCTTGGAGGCGGAAGAAGCGGATTGACTAGCAAGGTTCACAAAGGAACTGTTTGAATGAGGGTGATGTTCTATATTGTGACTATCTTTGTGGTTACGTGACCGTGTACTATCCAAACTCATAGACCCAAACTCCTAAAAAGGCCGAATTCTGCTGTGTATACATTATGCCTCCATAAGCCCAACTGGAAGTAAAAAATACACAACACCTACAAAAAGAGGTGGTCAAAATGTCAAGTGCTCTTCTAAATCATGCAAGAGAGGAATGGGACATGCCCCTCGCATTTGGCGTTGACTCTGGTGAGCTGTGTCAGTGGCTTGGGGGAGACAGAAGTTAGAACGCTAAGGATTGAGCAGTGTGACAAAGACTGCTGGTTGCCCTCCAATGCCCACGTTTCCCAGTGTTTGCCAAAGCTCATGACGATGCAGAGTGATGACCGCTTTGCCCAGTGTCCTGGGAAACTGACTATGACCGTATGACTGAATTCTGGCCACAGAAATATACGTGAAAGTGTCCTGCGGCAGCTTCTGGAAGCCTTCCTTAAGAGGCAGCTGGCGTGCTTTCGGTTGCCCCTTCTTGGCTCCTTTCATCTTTGTGTTGGTTGGAATGCAGACATGATGGCTGGAGCCGGAGCAGCTATCGTGGACCATGAAGTGGCTTTAGGAAGGGAGAAGAGAAATGACAGAGGAACGTCCCAGAAGAGCCTGGGTCCCTTAGCTCTCTGAGAGCCTCCAAGCTGGTCCAGGATTGCTTATCTCTGAACCTTTCAGAGGTAGAAAAACAAATCTGTTTCCTAGTTAAACTTCTTAATTACTCATAGATGAACTTAACCCTATATGCTACAGGAGTAGGTAGAAGGTGAGACTGTAGAGACGGGGAGGATGTAGAAACGGTGAGTACAGTCTAAGCAACCCTTTCAGGGGGCTCGAATGTGAAGGGGAAGAGCAGACAGGGAATGATAGCTGGCAACGGACACCGGTTACAGAGGACTTATGATCTCCCAGTTCACACTAGATTCTGTGATGGAAACCTGGAGATGATCCAGAATCCCTTTCCACAAAACAGCACCCTGACTCTTCACTGGGTTTGACTTGGTGGCTCAGGTTCCACAGGGAAAGGAGGAGCCGCGAATCCATCCGGAACATTTTACACAGGCCTCCTTCCAGCCCTAGAGCCAGTGACCAAGCTGATGGCTGGTTAGAACGCCTTTCCCCTGAGGCTTAAATATCCCAGTCCCTCTCCCCTCCCAGGCCAGTCTCTCCAGGGGGTCCTTTTCTGAACACCCTGCCATGGCAGCCCACTTCCCTTTTCCTTGCCATCAGAGTATTAAAAAAACCAGCTTTAAGACATAATATAATGCATATACCATAAAATTCACCCAGAATGCACCATTCAGTGGATTTTAGTATATCCACAGAGGTGTGCAATCATCACCACAAGTTAATTGTAACACCATCATGACATTTTATTCCTTGATTTTTTAAAGCAGTATCTTCAATCAGTGGTTATGTTTATTTTCCCCTTTCCTCTGCTCTGAGCTCCACTAGGGCAGGATGTTATGGCGATGCTTGGGCTGTGTCCTCTGCACCCAGCAGACACCACTCACAGAGGAACCAGGCAGTAAGGTACAATGAAGCCTGACGCTTGTCCCATCTGCGCTTCAGCACAGCAGGTGCAGGGCACTGGTGGGGGCCCGGTGCCCACTCTGGAAACCTTTAGGAGTGGGGGGTTTTCAGAGGGGGTGTAGGGAGGGAATACAAGGCCCAGGGAGGCGTATAACTCTGGGGTGGGCCTTGATAATTCGGGACTCCATATTCAATGTACCTATTGTTTCCAAAGAAAGAAACAGGGAGAGTAACGCTGGACAGTATCTTGTTGATAGGCGGGAATGATGAGAAGGGCGTGGGATCACCAAAGTGATGAAACACCGCATTAATGTGCCGCAAAACGGCTGGAGTTTTCCTTGGGAAACTCAGACCAATGCCCGCTGGGCTGGCACAATGGCGTTTCCAAACCCATGCCCAGCCCATTAGGGGCAGTACTTGCTATTTGCTGAGGCCAGATGCTTCTTTCTCATCCAACTTCCAAGCCGTGGCCGCTGCCACCTTGCCAATGACTCCATCGTTTCCCCGTGCTCTCAGGGTTGTGCCACCCGCCCCAGCAGCCCCACCTCCCCCTCCCGCCCGACCCGGGCGTCTCAGTGCAGCGCCTCGCGTCCCAGGGGAGCCGCCTGCGCACCTGGCGCCTCGGGCGCCCGGGCCCTGCGCGCTGGTGGCCACGGCTCCCGGTGCGCAGCTGCCGCGACCTCCCTCCCCGAAACACTTAAGTGGAGTGGCTTGTCTAGCGCCCAACGAACAACATTATCCAATTGCTTCCCGTTTTACTCGCAGGCTGGGAGCTGGGAGCGCCTGAGCGTTCACTTTCAACCCTCGAGGGGAGGAGAGGGTGCGGGCGGGGAGGGGAGACGCTCGGGGCTCCACCTCGCGCGCTGCGCGGCGCGGCCAGAGCGCCAGGCTCCGGCAGATGTGAGCGGCGCCTGCGAGCCCTGCAGCAGCGCACCCGGCAGCCCGCGGCCGCGATGGAGTGAGTATCCCCAGCCACGCCGCCCTGCGCGTCGCTGGCTGCCCGGCTCCCCGGCATGTTGCCATGGCGACCGCGGCAGGAGGCCTAGCCGGCTGGGTCCCGTCCGGGATGGGTGTTTCATTTCAGTTCCGCGTGTACACCTGGTGTTTCTATGGCAGCAGCCGAGGCGGCGGTGGGAGCCCCGGGGGTGGGAGCCCCGGGACGCGTGGTTTTGTGCCGCTGCCCCCTTGGCCTCCTTGCTCGGAGGGAATTGCGTTCTCGGCTTCCCCATCCCTGCCCTAAGCTCCCGCTTCTCGGGGAGTTGGCCGCAATAGCCATTACTTCCGATTACTAACCATGTCAGCATTATTGGACTGCAGTTTTTTGTTTTTTTGTTTTTTAAAGGGAGGAGGCGTGGGGGGTCACTGCGGATCGGAAGCAAATTGGTTGGGTGTGAAGCGTGTAATGGAAGGATGATGAGTGAGTGGGTGATGTGCGCCAGAGCTGCAGTGCCCCGGCTACTAGAAACCATAGGCGCCCTCCTCCCCCAAAATAACTGATTTCTTCCTGGGGTTATTGAGAAAGAAGACAGAAACATAGGAACGGCGGCCAGGGGTTGAATGACACCGTGGGCGCCTCATGGAAGGGGTGGAGAAGAGAAGGCAGGAAGGCAAGAGGGGCGTTAACCAGAAAGGACACAATAAATGGCCTGAGCGGTGGTTTCGGACCGGGTTCCTCTCCTCGATCTTCACATCCCGCAGTTGCTTGTTGGTTCCCTCTCCCCAGTTGCTGCCGCAGCGGCCGCTCTGACCGGCGCTAGGCTCCCAGAAAGGGGCATTTTTGGAGTCAGCTGCTACATACTGCTCACTTGGTCAGCTTCTCCTCCTCCTGTTCTTCCCACGGATACTTCCTGACCCCGAGGCCAGATGAAATCATATTTCAGCCCGGAGATAATGTCCTGTTTTCAGTGTCAGGACTCTCATGCCAAACGCAATACACCCTGGATGCAGCTTTTCTCCCTTCCCTCTGCGTATCTGATTGTGCAGATGCAATTTAATCCTGACCAACGGGGCTGCTAAGGCAGGAGTGGGAGCACGTGGGGCACTTGGGGAGCGAGGTGTGGTAGATTTCAGCCCCTGCCCTGGCAGCTACTCGTGCTGTTGATGTCCTGCACCAGAAATGTAATGTTTCTGAGCCTCAGTTTCCCTTTTTATACAACGGAGACGAAGATGTTTCTTCCTCACTTTTAAGCGTTGTTGAGAGGATCCAATACTATTTGTATTTCTTCTAAAGGGCTTTGTAAATTGTGAGGTATACACAAATTTTAGGAGCTGATGATTAAGGCTCTGGAGTCAGTTTGCTGGGCTGGAGTCTTTTTACACTTTGCTGAATGAAACTGATCTCTCTAGGCCTCATTACTGGCAACAGGATTAATAATACTAATAACTATTTGGTGCCATTTTTGTGAAGATGAAAGGAGTTGATCATTATAAGGGCCTTAGGACAGCATCTGCCAGAAAGTGAGCTCAATAAATACCATGCATTATCTATAAATATTATCTGTTGTCCATTATTATCACTGTGGCCTCCAGCATTCTCCGTTGACATTTTGTGGGGTCACCGAGCTATTTTTCCTCCCTAGACAATTTATAAAGAAATATAGTAACTGAGAGTAACAGTTCTCAAGATACCATTGCAAATGTGGAGAATCAACCAGAAGACACAGCAGGCTTGGGTATACAGAGCTGAAATGGGACAACCTGCCTGGGGTACACCCTATTTTCATTGCTCACTGTCATTTCCTTAGACATAGAGCAGTGGTTCTTAACCTGTGGGTCGCAACCCCTTTGGGGGGGGTAGAACGATCCTTTCACAGGGGTCACCTAAGACCATCGGAAAACACATGTATAATTACATATTGTTTTTGTGATTAATCGCTATGCTTTAATTATGTTCAATTTGTAACAATGAAAATACATCCTGCATATCAGATATTTATATTGCGATTCATAACAGTAGCAAAATTACAGTTATGAAGTAGCAATGAAAATAATTTTATGGTTGGGGGTCACCATAAAATGAAGAACTGTATTAAAGGGTCGCAGCATTAGGAAGGTTGAGAACCACTGACATAGAATAGAGGCTTTATTAGAGATTCGATGTAGGGCCAGTCATCCCACGGTGTGAGGTTAAAGGGTACCCTGGTTGTTTGTCAGGACAGTAACATTAATCTTCGTCATCTCTCATTAATACTCTAATGTATAATTTATCTCCCTCCATAACTATTTTCAATTGCTTTCATTTTCCTGTGAGTTTTTGTTACCTTTTTCAAGTCTATCTTCTAGGAAATTAACTTTTTTTTTTTTTAAAAAAATGAAATATTCGTTTATTTCATACTCATTCCAATATAGCCTTCACTTCAGTGATGGTTTTATTAATCATTTTCAATTTATTTTCTGACTCTGCAGCTCACTTTGCATTTATTTTTTTAAAGTTTCATGCGTTCTAGAATTTCTTTAAACATGTGGAGAAGACTTTCTCTGAAAATTTTATCTATTTCTTGTGTTATTTCTTTATTTTTATTGAGAGAGAGAGAGAGAGATCAATTTGTTGTTCCACGTATGCATTCATTGGTTGCTTCTTGTATGTGCCCTGACTGGGGATTGAACCCACAACCTTGGTGTATCAGGAATACACTCAAACCGACTTAGTTACCCAGCAGAATGGCTCATCTGCCTCTGCCTTTCCTCTTTTAAAATAACAATTACACGTATAGAAACTATACTTGTTGACAGCTTCGTACTTGTTACTCATTCCTAAATGGAGGCAATTCTAGCCGTACCTGCTATTTGCCAATAAATAAATAAATAAATAAATAATAAATAAATAATAAATAAATAAATAAGTGGGAGGGATAGAGGCAGTATTTGGGAAGGCAGTGGCCTTAGATATTTCACCTCATAATAATTCGCAGTATCTTCTTTTCTCATATAATGATCCCTTACAATGATCAACTCCTTTCATCTTCACAAAAATGGCACCAAATAGTTATTAGTATTATTAATCCTGTTTCCAGGAATGAGGCCTAGAGAGATTGATTTCATTCAGCAAAGGGTAAGCAGTGAGTGAGTCAATCACACAGCTTACTCGTGTGTGTTGGGGGGGAGGGGATGGACAGATATTTGGTACTTATCTATCACTGTGTAGTTGATTCTGTTTAGCACATACAAGCGAAGAGGAGGGGCAAATTATCTACAAAGGTAATTGTTTTCCTACAGCTCTTGCCTCTAGACTGGTCCTCTGTGTTAACTTTTTATGTTTCAGGCTTTCACGGATAATGTTAGTGGGTTCACACACAGTATCTCCATCATTGTCACTTTCTGTACCACTCTGGTGGGGAACCAGCCCCCCTCCCCCAGATGTTCCCGACATCTCCGTGACTTGCTCATGCCACTTCTCACCATTCCAACACTGGGCCTTTCTGAACTCTCTCCTTACATACAGAGAAATTTAAAAACCAGCTGAGCTCTGTAGAGGAACATATCACCTTTTAGGGTTGTCCCTTGATTTAATAAAGTTTTTACTCAGATAATTCTTATAGTCTGTGACTTGAGAATCTTGGCTCTTTGCTAGTTTCATAGTAGATAAAATTTTCTTTCCAATTTTTCATTCTTTATGTTTATTTCAGGGTGATATGGAGAAAACTTACCTTTACCATACATTTGAATGAATTAAGCAGCGAATCTTGTGTTCCTATGAAAATAATAATAGAAACTACCCAATGTTATTTGATATATATAGTCATATATATATATATATATATGGCTATATATATGTAAAAGGTAATTTTATATATATATCTTTTTAAATCAATTCTTAGGAATGTATATAGCAAAATAGTTCATGAATAGAGATGATTAATACTTAGCAGTAGAAGAATTTTGGGAAGGGTGCATAGAGTGGATATTCTCTGTCTCCCCTTCAAATCTACTCTCTACCCTCCTCCCACTGCTCTGTGCCTTAGAAGGCTGAGCCCTAGGCACTGTATCAGCAAGGCTGTCTTGCCCTTGAGCTTTCTGTTGGGTTGGATCATTGGGAGGCACCTGCAGGAGACCCACGGGTGGAAGGAGAGTGGGGTCAGCATGTTCACTCATGGTCTCCCTTCCTGCAGGGCAGCGGATGGCAGGGGTGCTTCTCTCTTCTAAAGGCTGCAGCCCTGCCTGCAGCCTGTCCTCCAGCTAGAGCCCGGATTCTCTCTTGGTTCTGGTCACCACTCCTCCTTTGCTCCTTCTGGACCAGGTGTGGCACTGGTAGGCCTCCCGCGTGGTTAGCTCCCGGTGCTTCACCAGCCCTGCTAGTTTTCCTTAACGATGCCCAGGCCATTGTAAAGCAATCCCTTTACTGAGCTTGCCTCAGTTACCCAGTTAGAGCATGCCATCTGTTTCCAGCTGGGTCCCAACTCACAGAGTGTGCAGAGCATGGAAGTGTTGCAAGTCTTATAAAAACACACTTTGCATTACTGGAAGGGAACCTGGTAATTTTTGTTTGTCTACATATTGCAGTCATTGGAGCTCCGGGTCCAAAATAGGAAACAGGTATTGAGGGTTGTCATGAGCTTCCTCCTAAACTGAAGAAGAAGCTCAGAATCCACAAGCTACCAATGTGTTCATTGGCTTCCCATGGGAAAGTCATTTGTCTTATAACTTAGAGTCAAAAATGCCCCAAACTTGACTCCTCAGAA